TCTTCATTACATAGCCCCGTAAATGATTAGCGATAGACGCTAATTACTGTTCATCTCAATTACGAATCCATGAAATTCGTGTCGTAAATTCAGCTTTTCTTTGCTCAGACATAGCACACGCAGTGGAGTGGGTTATTCTTAATTGTGGATGCCGATGAGCAGGTATCTCGGATGCGTTCATTGCTTCGCGCTTCGGTTAAGTCTCATTACGAACAATTACGTACGATAAACCAATAAAAGTAGCGGCTCGTTAAATGTTTCAATACGTTACGTATTGTGCTTCTGTAAAGCTGCGTACCGTAATATTTACTAGTCTATTTCCACTTTTAGCCGTCAAATTTTGCGTCGCGTACAGACTACAGAAAGAATGCGTACGCGCCGCGCCATATATATTTTTTGTGTGAATTCAGGTTTTGATTGTATGTTTGAGTTCCCTTGCTTAAATGTAGTAGGTAAGTTACAATGGAACATTTGAATTCTTCAGCCATAATTATAATATCAAAGGGTGTATCAACCCATCATTGGTATCATGATGAAGGAGACTTTTGTATGGAAACAAGTTTACAACGGCAATTTGCTTTTGTATTCAAGACGTGTAAGCCCCATCTCTTTTAAAGAAATTATAATAAAAATAAAACATAAAAAAACACAAGCACAGCAATTTACTTCAATAAGCAAGGCCAATTCGCTGTGGCAACAGTCAATGGTGACCGTGTGACCGATGTAAATAAAACAGGGTTTATATAATAATAAAATAAAATAATCATTCGCATGGCAAAATCTTACAGGTTTAATAAAAAATTATGAGTCTTTTATCTTGTGAAGTTCAGGTTTTAACTTAATGGTTCAAACTTAATCTAGTTTTTAAATCTGGTACATGGTCAATGGGTTTATTCTGGACAAGGTATGAATACTTTTGAGTCTTTATTTGCTTAACAATAGGTAACAAAGTAAAATGGGGTTGGTTCACATTCAGCATATTGTAATCAGTAAGATTTTGAAAGATCAATAGGATAAAGGATATCTTTGTAAAGACTTGATTTTATGCTTACGTCGTTGAAAATAAAATTGTATCAGATGATGAGAAATGTTTCCCAAGCTAATAATAATACTGTTGAAGTATTTACTGCTGACTCACATTCACATTCCTTATAATGATTTTAAATGTAAATCATAACAAATGTGAGCTGTTTGTTATTGTTTGAAATTATTTAATAAACAACATCAATTATGTTGTTGCTTAATACCTACTTATTTACTTATNGGCCACTTTGTAAACATTTTCAACTTAAAGGTTTCCATAAAACAGATGTATACTTAAGTAAAAATATTTAAAAAAATGCCGTGCCGTCGCTCCATACAACACATTACCTCTTAACTTAGAATGACCCTTATAAAATTTTCCAAGTAGAATCCAATCCAACTGAATCTGTAAATATGTCCTGCATAAGTAGTAGGTACATACTAATAGAGCAATTTTAAGTAAATTATCAAAAATTCCTTACAGATAAATCTTCAGAGTAACAGATTAGATTAATTTAAGTTTTCCCTGGCATTTTTGGCTAAACAGGATGCCAGAGGGCAATTTGAGTTCAAGAACTGTACAGTGCATCTTACAGAGGATGTAAGCAATTTAAAAGTGGCTTTAAGCTGTATAAAAGAGGTATAAAGAGTTTGATTCAGACACAAAGAACTGACAATGAGTCGATCGCGTGTAAATTCAGACTCGTCTCTACAAGTATTACTGGTACTTTCGTCGGCGCGGGCCTGCGGACGATATTGCTCATAGGCCCGCCGGCCGCTAGGATGAGTAAGACAATGTAGCGCCTATCGAGGCGGCCAAAACAGGCGTCAAGATAACTATTGTACTGTTGCATTCCGTAAGAGGCGATGTGTAACCACGAACCAAGTCGAGCGTGAGCTCTCAGCTTGATATTCTTAACAACAAGAAATACCCAGCATCATAACTGCGGACGACTCGCTAATATTTACCTACTATAGAAAACATCATCAGCTGTCATTGATTACGTCAATACCCGTTAAACCTGTTTAAAAATTCTTAAAAACTATCTACATAAAGAAATAAATAAATACAATGCTATAAAATAACAGAAAAACAATAGCTTGTTTGCACAAAATAATCAAAATTAACAAAATTATCGATCTAAAGAAACGCAGACTTTACTGCACTCTTACCTTCCGATAACTCCAAGTCCAACTCGGCCAATTTATCTCTTATCTCGTCCGGCAACTTTGATATATCAACACTTAAGTCAGCCATTGCGGAAAAACACTTTTTTTCTCACAAAACAAATAAAGTTAACGACAACACTTCAAGACACCATCGTGACACATGGCCATCTTGAATTTAGTTTGAATAAAATCTGCTCGACTCGAGACCGACCCGCTAACTAAAGTTCGCACACAGTGCTCACCAGAGGCCGCTTCACGAACTCTATGATTAGTTGGTTTTCCTTTACCAAAATTACACTCTGCTCTAAAAAGTAAACAAGAAAGCATAGATCAAATTATTTTTTGCATCTTGCAATATTTAAAGTTTTCAAGTCTGTAACCCAGAATAAAGGTAAATCTGCACCAGGTGCTGCCAATAATGGGGAATACTTGAATAAGAGCGGGACAGATTGATACTTACCTAAGTAAGGAAGACAGAGAGGAACAGTACATTGCCCGTTCTTGACCAACCTACACGTTATGAGGTAGTAAATTAAAATTTAAAATTATTGTAATCCGGGCTTAAACTTAACAATGTTTTTTGATAGGTAGGTACAAAAACTATATTATATCCTACTACCCTACTAATATTATAAATGCTAAAGTTTGGATGTTTGGATGTGTGGATGTCTGGACGTTTGTTACTCTTTCACGAAAAAACTACTTAACGGATTTTGATGAAACTTAACAATATTTAGTCAACATTACAGATTTCAACTTTATAAGGCAGTTCTTTAAAATATAAGCAAGATGTACGAGTAAGCTTAGAGAATCTAACCAATCTCGTAAATATGATAAGAAGCTTTTTGTGGTTTCTCTTTTTTTGGTAATTTCTTGTTGGTTGAGGGGATTATTTGTATAATATTGTAGTAGGTGAGCATGCATAATGTTAAAAACACTATGTAACAAATCTAGATGTACATAATCACTGTGTAGGTACATAATATTATGTTTTCAGGTTTGGGGAGTTCATCGCAGTGATTAAGGTATTTATTTGAAAATCACGTTTTTGTCCTTAGAAAGATTGAGCAAGTTGTAACATTAATTTGGCAGTAGTAGGATTTTTTTGTAAGTAGGTATGCATTGCATTATGAAACTTTGAAAGCCTGTAACAGGATTTATGTAAAGGATAACAGCTAAGTATCTCGTTCAACGGATTAGCCTGGTCATACAACTTGGGCAATGCTGCTAGCATTTTGGGCACCATCCCGATGTATTTTTGTTTTGTACATAGTATTTAAAGATGATGTACCTAAGTAGTCTGTGTGAATAGACGATAGAATAACTTATTATTCTATAGTCATAATAACTATTGGTATTTTTGTTACTGGGGGATTCAACCGTCACGGGTGGGACACTTGTACCTTCATTTTCAGTATGTGTAAGTAATTTAGGGTAATCATTCAATGATATCAAATTGGATTATATAGGTACATACAAAATAACAAACTAACCTATGTACTTTTATAGTAACAGTAGAGACGGGGATAACACCATATTATTATAATGTTAAATATAAAAGACAGTAAATGTTTGCCACGGGTGGGACAGAAATGTGACATTCTTGTTAGACATTAATCATATTCAATAAAACTCTGCTAATTTATTAAACTTTTTAATTCAAATTACGATATTTCTTTGAGATAATAAACTGAACATAACATATGAATAGAAAATAATGCCCTATGATTCAGAATTTTTTTTTACAAAAATTAAATAAAGTGTGTCACGGGTGGGACTCACAATGTCACGGGTGGGACACGTACGATTTACTAGGCAAAATAAGCCGCATATAAGTTTTTTTTTCTTAATGAAGGATGCTAAAGTTTCATAATCAGAGTCACTCCAGCTGCTTGAGTCTGTATCAGAGAATATATTTGCTTAATAGCTTTGCATCTTGTCAGATCTGAATCAGCAGAAGTACCCATAAATAAGTCTTCGAAAAAGTGGAGCGACTGTATTGAATTTTAAGAACAGTTGCAAGTTCAAATCACAACTGACGCCACAGTGTTGGCAACTTTACGTAAGGTTCGTTTATCAATGTTTGCAACTTAATAAAAAATTAAAATAAATAAATATACCAATATTTTTTAAAGTAGCGTGAAATTCAAAGTATTTTGTATTGATAATATAAAACAAAACTTTAAAAAAAAGTTTAAGGTTTACTCTCTCGTAGAATCCCCCTAATATCAATGTGATAAATGTGAAAATTATGAATAATCGCGGGTTATTATGAATAATTACCTCATGATTTGGTAAAAGTGATTAATATGAGATCATTTATGTGTGTATAAAACTAAATAGTTAAAGTAGTAGGTAGTAAGTATAAACTAAATTAGTTTATGATTAATTTCAGTTTTGAAACGTCTACATCTCCTAAGATTTTCAAGATTTAGGTTCTAAAATACTTGAATTACTGGAATTTGAGTGATTAAGTCGGATAAAATGTTTGTTAGTAGTTTTTATGGGTTTTTTAAAATTCTTCTTCTTTTCGTGTCGACAACAAACCTACACAGTGTCAGTCCAAAATTCCGCCACAAGAGTGGCGTTGTCAGTAGCACTCATCAAATCCTCCTGAGGTTTTTTAATTAATTTGAAAACTTTCCTTGAGTAAAGTTGTATTCTGAAAAGTTAGTCCAAAGCCGAATTTCTTGCTTGATGTAATCAGTTTGTTCTCATTGCATTTACGAGACGCAATCCATAGACAGTATATTTTGCACCTGGTAACATTACTGTTTGTGTCATTTCACTAGGTGGCGCTAGTGAGCGTATTTCTCTTGCCGTCATTCTCATTCGTCGCTTTGCTGCCTAGTTTTTCTTTTTACATTCGGAAGGTAGTTTAGTTGGCTGTAAAGTTTATTCTCGTAATGGCTGCCACGCTAAAAGTGTAGCTTATTGGTTATGTCATGTTTATAAATTTTAAGTTCGTGTGTGTAATTCGACTAATTCAACAAGTGTTTCGAACAATGTTCGCATGAAAGCAGCTTAATCTCAATCTCCCTGGATCGTTTCCTCTTTCATGTTTCCTTTTTTGGCAATTAAGTTATGGACTCGGCGTTTGTGTACTGTATGTAATAAAAACATAATCTATGCTCCGTGAAAAGTGTCCGTAAGAACCATATTGAGTGCCAAGTGGTTTGTCACGAGTTAAAATGACGGATACGCGTTCGTCATCGGCGCTGTTCAAGCGGGCTGAGCAGTTGAAGAGATGGGAGGAATCCGATACCAACAAACAGTCGCCGACGCCGAAGCGTGCCTCGAGGATCCAGTTCTCCTCGGGGATCGTGTTCCTGGCGGCATGCACAGCCGGGGACAAGGACGAGGTCCAGCGCCTGTTGAAAATGGGCGCTGACATAAATACGGCAAACGTGGATGGCTTGACAGCCCTGCATCAGGTTAGTACCACTGCTTACCATCTAAACTCAGTACCCAATAATGCATGTATCACTATTTACTCTTAGTTGGTAGTAGTGTAAACAGTATAGTCATTGGAACTGCATTTTATTCATTAATATTTGAAGCAAGCAACAAGTGTTTGATTGTGCTTTGTAATTTTGAGTAGTATTTGTTTTTAGATACCAATATGCACACTGTTGATGTTACTAAAAATGATAGATAAATAAGTCTTGGCCTCTTGACACTATCCAGTACAAACTTAGAATTTGTCAGAAAATTCCAGTTTAATGTCGTGCAGCATCCGGTTCCTCAAGTAAAAATATTCTCAATGTAATGCAGTGAAATGTTTTATTTTTTCTATTTTACTCATTCTTATGATGTCTTCTGAGGTTCTGATTTGTAATTTTATGGCAATCAATTGAGACACATTATTGAATAATATGGAAATGATGTGACCTGTATTGTTCAAACCATACCAAATTTAACTATAATAGTTAAGGAGGTTTTTTGTCTGCCATTCTGATGTTTTCCATTTGCAGTAACTGCGGAATGCATATTTGTATCCTATACATATTTTTTACAAATGACTTCTTTACCAGACCATAGGTTAGCAAAAAAGAGGTGTATGTTTTGTACCATCTAAAAACAGGACACACAGAACTCGGGAGGGATTATGTTAGTTATCATTATAGATTAGGGTGTTTACAAAACAGCCTTTTATATTCATGAGTAATATAACATTATCAGCGTTACTATTTAATGCATTCAAATGATGCCAAAGGACATTGGGAACTTTAATATGAGAAAATGCCCCACGGCGGACAAAGATGAAACTTATTTTATTTCAAAGCTTTATACTTGTAGGTATATTCACTTAAAGCGCTATGTTGTGAGATATGGGAATTCTGAGATATGACGAGTCCAAGTTGAAAATATATTTGTCTAAAATGATTTGATATTTTTACATGTTATGTTGTTTGGCATTGCAGAGTAACCAATAAAAGTCAATAAAATAATATAAATAAATAAAAAATATAAATAAAATAATATAAATTAATAAAATATTATAAATATGTACTTAAATTAATATTAGACAACATCTCATATATTACTCCAACCCAAAATAAGTAGCTAAGGCATTTGTGTTATGGAAATCGAGAACGACGAACCACAACACACCCAAACCAGAGACAATGTGAAAAGATCGTTTTCTATATTGTACCGGCTGGGAATCGAACCCGGGACCTCAGGATTGGCCCGGCACACCTTGAAAACCTGTGTGTGCGCCGCTCCGCCACAGAGGTCGTCAAAAATGTTACCTAAATGTAAAATAAAATAAAATATTAAAACTTCATTTTCTCAATATTCCCATATAAGAGAGAAAAAAAAAATGCACGGAAATTCATTGGATATTAGTATGTATCATCTGTGATAGGTTTCGTTTGTGTCCGCTACTTTTCGAAAAGTGGGGCAAAAAGTTCCCAATGTCATTTCTCAAAATGGTAACAAAAATATAACTAGATCTAGAAATCAAACCGAAACATTTTGTCAGATTTATGTATCCTATAGTTAGTGTATAAAATTAACTATTGAATAGCATATCAGAGCGTATTATGTTCTGCTATTCTGCAATAGCAAACGTTAGCATAGTATTGCAGCTCTTCCGTCCTCTTGCGATGACATCTCCTATGTTAATCTAATTTATTTTCTATGTTGTCAATATTGTAAATAATGAATTATTATTGCCAGAGTAATACAATTAATAGTAACATTCTGCTACAAAATTGCATAGGCTATGTGAAAATGTAAACACGATCCGTTTAAATGGACTAGTTGCATTACCCGTTAAAGTTTTAAAGTGACGGAGTGTTTTGCATTATTAATATTTTTTGGTAAACTATTGGGTTTGTATTTTATGATTCACAATCAAAAGCGCCGTCGTTTTTGTTTGTAGTAAATATCTGAACATTGATTGTTCTGGATCTGAATACTTCAGTAATTAAAATTTTTTGGTGTTAAGTAAGAGTCGTCTCTCAATCTAAATGTTTTAAAATATCTAACTTGAAAAAATAACTTTGTTTACACATTTCATCCTGGTAGCATTACCCCTTTAACAGCCGTTCAAGGGTTAAGTTTTTTATGGCTCAGTGGCAAATAGGTACCTAATTACTATTGTAGTTAGTATCATACATTTGTAAAAGCTAAACTTTTAACAGTGAGTGAATGCAGAATTGCAGATCCAATTTTTGAGTTAAAAACTATTTAGGTGAAAAATTCTTTTGATATTTTCCTACATGTTTCCTAATTATTTTTATTTTTGAAGCTAATTTTAAAGTATGGTATTATTAGAGGCCGGTAGATCTATTCTCATAAATAAAACACTGGATACTCATCTTATACATTATATTGCCTTATTTTAGATACAATTCATCACTTAGCACAAAAGCGCGCGGAGTCGTCTCCGCGCGTCCCTCTATTCTGACGTTTGATTCTCGTGTGACATTGACAACACGTCAATGTCACTATGACAGCAGCTCATTGGCTATAACGATACCGCTATTTTAACGTTTTATATTTTTCACAATAATTAACAGTTNAAATAAAACACTGGATACTCATCTTATACATTATATTGCCTTATTTTAGATACAATTCATCACTTAGCACAAAAGCGCGCGGAGTCGTCTCCGCGCGTCCCTCTATTCTGACGTTTGATTCTCGTGTGACATTGACAACACGTCAATGTCACTATGACAGCAGCTCATTGGCTATAACGATACCGCTATTTTAACGTTTTATATTTTTCACAATAATTAACAGTATAAAAAAGTTACAGTACCTACATATAAAAAAGTTTTGGACTGTATCTCCAAAGATTTTCAACTTAGTGAAAATGTATCATGTAACTTTTAATTATTTAACAAAGTTTAATAGATAAGCATTTTAGAACAATTGGCTACTCCTTTTTTTTTTAAATCCCCGGCTAAAATTGCCGGAGTTCGGTTTTTGAAGTTAGATACCCATAATGTTATTGATATTTCAACCTTGAATTTCATTGAACCACGATAAAACTATCTTATGTCCTTTCTGTGATTAAACTATCTCTACATATAATAAATTTAAATCAAAATGGGTTCAGTGGTTCAGGCGTGAAGAAAGTGTAACAGACAGAGTTACTTTGGCATTTATACTATTAAATATTTGACTAATAGTAAATGATTTCTTTAGACAAATTCCTAGCAGGCTATAAACCAAAAAGTGTGCGGCAGATATGCATGCATGCATATTCTTGTTTAGATTTTAAATCGTTAACGGACATTAATGTGTCTTGAATGAGTTAGATGGGATTCTTGCGATGCCCTCATAGGCGCACTATAAGCAACATGCTATGCGCCGACAGCGTCCCATCAATTTATGTTTCCAATCAGCTTCCTCGAATCGCGTCTTCGATCAGAATGCGGCACAGCCGGTCACGTGCGTCGAGATTAGCACTCGGAATAGCTTTCGATTGTTTCGTTCGGCCACCGTACGTCACTGTCCAGAATTAGCCGCCGACTGTCTACCGGCCGTCAGACTCGCGCGCGAACCATCTCGTCGCCACTTCGCTCCCTTAATCCCGCTTCCAAGCAACCCATCAATGTGGTCATCACAACACTTGCGCCGCTATCGCAATGTTATGTCATCGCAAACGCACTCCGACTAGACACCATTCCGATTGCATCCGATTACGATAATGTCTCTCAGCTCAGCAATAATGTTGCATTCTGCTCGTTCATCGAGCTCACATGAAAACGCAACATTGAAGATAGAATTGACGATGTTCGCAGTTACAAGACTTGTATGTACCGCACGTTTCCCGTTGTGAAATGTGTTGGTGATTAATGATTTATAAACTTGATGCATGTGTTTGCAATTATTATAGTTTATAATATAATATTGATTAATTTTAATTAACTTACTGATATTAAACATAGTAAGGTTATTCTAACGTACATATTATAATATGTTATAAAAAGTATACAATACAATATTTAAATCAACAAAGTTTTTTAAAATCCACCAAAATATGATCTCATTTTAGTAACGATAAATAATTCTAATACGAATAGAAAAAACATCTTTCACCAGTAATTTAAATCTCGTCTGTGAGGTCTTCTAACTAACCCAAGGAACATGTCAATAATTGGTTTTAATTATCAGTCCTTACGACCCCGCCGGATTTAGAGACCTTTGCCCCGCGCCCGTGACTCATAACATGGCCGCGGACTTTTATGACCTGGCTGCATGTTCCCCGCTGGCTAGAACTCCAACATTTGAATATTCAGACCCGATAGGAAATCAATTGTCCTTGGCCGCGAGTGCTCGTTAAAATTTCTCCAATATTAAGGTGGGAACTCACAGGGGGCATATGTGTTGTACGGTTCAGGTTTGTGAAAAACATCGGTGGTACATCGTACATCGAAACGATTGCAGTGTTTGCAGTGTATAACATACCTACAGTTACTTGTTTTGATTCAGTTTTGATCTGTACCAATTTGTAAATCTCAAATATTTTTTAACTGCGATTTCTTACGGAAATTAAAATTGTAATGCATATTATAAATCAACTTTGAAAACCAAGTTTGAAACTGAAGCTACTTCAAAACCATATTTATTATTAGCAACTGATAACATTTTCCCTATTATTTCTTAATTTTATAAGTGTTCAGTTAAAAAAGTATGGAACTTTATGGCTATTTCAGGTTGTTTTAAAACTTATTCGTAAAGCATCATTTGGATAGTCCATAAATACAACTTTATAAAACCAAGTTTGTACTTACGAACTGAATCTGTACAATATTTTTGTAACAACCTGAAAAGTTTCCACATTTCTTAATAAACAAGAAAAATCCAAGACTTTCTTTACCATTTTAGAAACAATTGTTATAAAAATATTTTTTGTTTACTTCGGCGTGTTTTGTTGCGAAATATTGTTTTGCAAAAAAGAAGGAGGTACAGT